CCGTCCCCCGCCGCCCGCTGGGGCCGGGCCCCCCACACGGCCGCAGCCATCCTTGCGTGTGGCGCCAACGAACATCTAGGGAAGGCGCCGGCTGGCTGGCCGGGCGCCGCGACGCCGTCGCCGCCGCCATGGCGTGAGCGGATCACATCACATGCCGTCCCGTCGCGTCCCTGCCGCCGGGGCGTGGTGTGGCGGGGCGTGGCGAGGCGAGGCGAGGAGGGCGGGGCCCCGCCCGGCCCGCCGCACCCGGGAGCACGATGGGCTGCCTACTCGCGCGGCGCTCCGGGTCACGCCACTCGACGCCGCCCATCCCACCGCTGCTGTAGCCACGTAGACGTCGTCAGCGGTGTCAACGAGCTCGGCGGCGGTGTCGGGCAGGAGGGGGCTCCACCACACGCTCACGCCCCTGAACACGCTCTTGGGGCACGCTCTTGCTCCCAGACCGGTTTGCGATCCCACAAATGTCATGTTGACGCATTATTTAAATGCGGGCCTCTCGTAGGAGTGCGCGCCCGCCTGTGTGTGTCTGTATGTGTGTGTGCCCACGCGTGGTGCCCCCCCCCCCCCCCCTTCTACTGGCGCTAACTGTGAAATGGTGTAGCTAATGTGTGTGTTACTTGTTGCAGGAGGTGGCAGCGGGCCGGGGTCGTGGTGCCAGCTCAAGTACTGGGAGCTGGCGGACCGGGTGGGGCGCCTGTACGAGGTGCAGAACCCCTACGTCAATGTGTCGTCGGCGGCGGAGCCCGCCAACCAGGGCCTGTGCCTCGCCACCCTGGCGCAGCAAGCGCCCAGCAGACCCGCCGGCTCGCCGCTCGCCAGGGCCGTGGAGAGGACGCGCGCCAAAATCGGACTTGGTAAGGAGGGAGAGGGTCAGCGTTACGAGAAAGTTAGAAGAAGGGGTAATGTGGGCACATTTTCTCTGGCGGTCGGGATCGTGCCTCCGCGGGCAGCCGCCGTCGGCCGTCGCGGCGCCTGCTAGTGGCGCCGGCTAGCCGCAAGTCTTTTTTTTGTGGCTTTTTTTCTGTAATGGTTTGGTTGCTAAGGGATCTGCTCCCATATCGCCGCGGTTGCCGATGGCACGTGTGCTCTTATATAGCTCAAGGCTGCGCCTAAAAGTGGAGCGTACTGAACGTTCAATACACACTAAAAAATATATATACAGACGAAAAAAAAAACGTAACTCGAGTGTGGACTTTCATCAACGAGCGAACATCTCTTGACCGCGGCCCCGTTTTGCTTGCAGGCGTCACGTTATCCCAGGAGGCGGACGGCGTGTGGGCGTACAACCGGTCGGACCACCCCATCTTCGTCAACTCGCCGACGCTAGACGACCCCGAGTCCCGGACGCTGCTGGTGTATCGGGTGCCTCCCGGCCACTGCCTCAACATCTTCCGCGCCGACACCACGACCCAGTACTGGGAGCGGTGGCGGCGCTGCAACGAGCTTGCCCACTCGGGCCCCGTCGACCCCGGCGCCGTGCGCATCTCCTTCGCCAAGGGCTGGGGGCCCAAGTACTCGCGCCAGGAGGTGACGGCGTGCCCCTGCTGGATAGAGGTGCTGCTCAGCCCCTGCAGGTGACACCGCCTGCCAGCGGCCAGGACCCCGACGACACTGGGAGCGAACGCCAGTACAAGAATCGATGCATTTTCTGAAACCTGTATGCCGCTCGGACGAGAGAACCACAGACCCATCGGGGAATGCCACTTTGGAATTTGGTGCAAGGTGGAAGCTTGAATGCCGTTTCCAGGGTACTTGTGCATTCCTCGTTTCGTTTTTATTTTTTGTTATTGTTGTTTTTTGTTCTGCCATTGTCAAAATCCACTCCTATTTATATTTAAAAGTTTTTAAGTGGCTTTTCTTTGGTGTATTTGTACTGCAATTTACGCAAACATGTTTTCTACAGTCAATAATTTTGTTATCTGCTACTTTTGTTGGTAATTGTTTTATAATTTTATTTGTGAGGATCCATTGTGCCCTGTGATAAGCAAAGCTTGTTAAAGATTTCTCATGGAGGAATATGGTGACACGTCAGATGGGAAAGGAGGAGGAGTAGATGAAAATACTGTGATGTTTGAAATTATTTAGTGTGTTTTTCCCTTGTTATTTCTTCCAAGAAGGAAAGCAAAGGAACTTGTCTTGGTAGATTTACCAACTCGTTTTATTAAGTAAAATTTAGCAAGTACCATTACCCTCAAATGGCCTTAAACTTTATATGAACAATTCAATTAATGCAGTTGACTGAACGGTATTCATAATTGTAGTAATGTCAAGCCATCCAACAAATGCAATGTGAATGGAGGTATGAGAGCTTCTTATCTCAATATTTTTTCATCCTCACTTAATATTAGATATTGTGGAAATTATTCAAATAGTGCATATGACATTAAAATTTTAAAGAGAGAATCTTGAACTACTGAATTTGAGTGTTCAGTTTTGGAGAGCTAAATTCAATGCACCAATGTTGCTGTACCCTTTCTTCTTTGATCACTTCCTTTCCAATTGCTAGTTTAAATTAAAAGAAACTAGAAATCAGGGTCTATGTGTAGTAAATTGGTAGTGACTATCTTATCCAAGGATCAGTCCACTTTGGATACATAAAGTGCTATGCGCTAGCTAAATTATAAGTGATTTACAAATGTTTTTTCAGGTTTGGAAAAATTGTTTCTTTACCTCTTGTATTTTGTACAATTGAACTTTCAAAGCTTATATTTATTTTAAAGGTATACATTATTTAATATCAAATTTTGTGTACTATGCACTGGAACCCAAATTTTAGAATTAATATTCAAAAATTGTGAAATAACATAGAAATTTCAGTGTTGTGTAAATGTATCGGTATGTTTAGGGTCAAAGCTGTTGTTTAATTTATAAAAGAACTGCCCAAGTATGGAATGATATGAAGTGTGGGTCCAATGTAACCAGAATGTAATTTAACCCTCATTGTGCTATGAGAGAGGGTTGTACCCTTGTCCGTCCAACAATGCCTAGCAATTGTTAAATTGCTTTCCTAGACTGAACAATGTGAATTGTGAATAGGTTCCATGACAAGAACCTAGCAAAAGCGAGCTATAGTCTTGTGCCATTATAAAAGACATGAAAAGCACCTTGCCAACTTGCTGTGACACAAAGGAGAAAGTAGTAACTAGTCTTACTTGAAGTGTCTGCCACCATAATGCAATATCATTGCAACCAGAAGATTGTGTGACCTGTGGAGGCATAGTCATTTGTATGTTAAGGTTTCCCCTTTTCTCATTATTTTTACTTTTACAAACCTTGATACGTATTTATATACCAGTGGCCTACACAATTCAAAGTATAGCAGGACCATGACTTGACTAACATCTAAGCAGCCTTGAGAGGAACACACTTTTTCATTTTCTTTTTATGGAACTTCAATTTGTTATTGCCAGAATTTTATTTCGTAGACAGCAAGGTGCTCTTTCCTAATTCAGGTTTTAACTTTTACTAGCCTTCTAGTACAATTTTTGTATTAAGTTCACTGGCACAATATGCAACATGTTTCCTTAAAATCTAATTCCATTCTGTTTTGAGTACTTTTGTTTTTCCTTAAAGCATCAACTTGATGAGCTTTGCTTTGCTTGATCTTCCTATGTGGAGTACAGCTGGTGAGGCTACAAAAATGTCATCAAGTGCTCATAGATGTACTTCACATTCCAACTAGATGAGAATTGAATAATTGCAGTTGTTTCCAATTTTTTGTTAGAATTTTCTTGTACAAATTGTTGGAGCAGTTGATCTGACCCAATAGCTCCCGAAACATTGGAAAATCCTTTTTCCTCCAGACAAAAGAAAGTTTGCGTTTTTATTCGTTCCTCTAAAATATCATTAATAATGCAACTGTCTCTTTCTGTTTATTTTTTTCTGTTTGTGATTTATTATCTAATGTTGCTCTCGTTTTTCAATCTTGGTATGAATATCCCCTATCTGTTATTTCTTTACTTAAAATTTTAACACTCCAAATTTGTCTGAGGCCTGCTCTCAGACAAATTTTTACTCTGCATATTTCATATTCCATCTAAAGCATTCAGCAGAAATTTTGTGGACACTTTTAAACAATTTCTTGCTACATGTCCTGTACTCTAGTTTTGATACCCATTTACTGTTTTTTTTTCTTTTGTTGTTAAGGAAAGAGATCAAAGAGATCTGAATGTATGTTAACCTCCTTCAAAAATTCCTACTTGCTTTACCAAGTTTATTTTAGGTTTGGTGATTGACTTGTTGTGAAACAATCAAACAGTCCATGCTCTTACTACCTCAAACATGTCAACTTCATTTAAATTTTCAACCAAATAAGATGTCATAAGTTTGACCTTAAATTTTGAAGGCATCATTCTTTAATGTGATTTACCATAATTTGTGGGATATTTTCTGAAAACATTCAATTTTATTGAGGTATTTCTAAAATTTGCTTCTAGTCAAAGATGCTCTGACTTCATATGTGCTGGCGCTTTCTGAATTTTTCCTTTAAAACTTGATCTAATCATGAAGACTTCATTGTATTTCATGGGGTACTGATTAGAGTTAATAGTGACATCCTGTTTCTTCTACCTGCTATTTAAAGCAATCACTAAATGCCTTGGGCAAAATATTTCATTCCATTTTGTTTTAAGTCTTGAGACGTAAAGTGCCAATTGTTCAATTTGATCAGATGACTATTACAATTTTGATAGCGATTGCAAAGCACGATCTTTGTTTTATACCGCTCTTGTAAGCCATTGATGTTTTTTCTTCTTAAAATGTACAGAAACTTATTGACACAAAAAGGGTTTTTAGTAAGTTCAGTCCTGCTGAATATTTGTGAACTGCATCTTTCCAACAAGCTTTTGACAGATGTAAAAGTACTTCAGTTACAAGTCACAAATATGCAAATAATTGTTATAAAAAGTTTTTGAAATGTGTACATGGCCAGTGATGATAAGCTACAATCAGAACTAAACAATAAGTTGGTTTTCTACTTTGAATTGTATAAAATGTATCTATAAAAATAACAGGGAAAATATAGATTTCTCAATTACTTTCAAATACCCTCTTTTTATTTAAAAAAAACAAACAAAAACACACACAAAAAAAACAAAAAACGTACAACAAAACAACTTACACTTTTCGGAAGTAACAGAACACTTGTCTTCTCTAAAGACACCAAAATGCACTAGGAGCGCAGAACCCCCAGAGCCCCCTACCTTCGACGTCTCTGGTTGTACTGACCCCCCACACGTCATGGAGCTGAGCCTGAAAGCCAGATTCTTGGCGTTATTAGTGCACATTATTAGTTGCACGTTATTAGCACGTTATTAGTCCACCACAGCAAGGTGCCAGGCAGCAGGGAACTCCCACGGCCCGCTTTCGCCGTGAGTCGCACCCCGGCCCAGAGACGAGTCATATGCCACTCCCGACGCAGTGCCACCACCACACCGTCAGAACTCCACGAGGGTGGCGTGGTGAAATGACAGGTTTGAAGTCCATTTGAAATTTGGTGGCCTCAGAAAAAATGTACATCTACGGAGACTTGAACCGACGTCACCCCATGCTCCAGGCGAGTGCGCTACCGACTGTGCCATAGAGGCAACATACGGGTGAAGGTTCCAGGGAACTATCGATTCTACGCTGTCTCTGACTGCTTAAAAAAAGAAGAAAAAAAAGAAATAAAAGTGTGAAGAAATATTTTATATACCATTTTCCTATTTGTGCGTTTTGAAGTGCTGGGAACAACAAATGAAAAGAAGGCGATAACTTATTTTTGGGGGTTCCTATCCGTCTCCCCTCACCCCCTCCCTTCCCCACCCCTCACCCCCACCACGCAACCCGCCGCGCCTTCATTCGTGGAAATGTAAACAAACATAGTGAAAATCGGTGTCCTCTGCTGCTCAATTCCGAATAATACCGACACCTATTTATCATAGGACTTCAATCAGAATTCGTGGGTAGACAGCGCCGCTTTTTGATATTAATCGCAAGGGATAGTGCTTGGTGGTTTCCGGAAAATTTAAATGTTCTGTTCCGGTTGTTTGTATGATGATGATAGTGTGCTCCCGTTGGCTCCATTTTTACACACAAGTGGTAAGTTATTTTTCGAGGCAGAGTAAATGATGCTCGTTCTGTAAACTTTGCTCTCTGTTAGCTTTGTTGAAATTCCGTTGAATGGGTACACTCCCTCTATTCCATGCAGTATATTAAATACTGTTGTAGGTCATTTGCAAATGGGTGAACTGTCAAGTGTATTATCATTTATCATATTTTACTCTGTATTATTCTTGTGGAGTGGAGAAATGCATTACTTTCTGGTTTGGGTGCAAACTGAGTGGTTCTATTTGCGTAATCGCCCCAAACAATCAATCAATGTGCGTTGCAGCTAATTTGCAGCTGTCAAGGTATCTGGGAGGCCGGGAGATGTACACAGCCTGCTGTATGATCAGACGGATGTGTTACGTACACTTTATGCTTGAGTCCAGGATCCAGTGCCAAATTGGTTATTTGAAAGACCATGGTCATTTAGAGTATAGGGGGAGAGGCATTTAAAAGTGTGTTGTATGAGTAAATTATATGTAATTAATACTGTTGAGTAACAAATTAAAGCAAGCATTGAAAAAATAGCGCTAAAAGTACTGTCTAATATGATTGCAGGAACTCGATCCGGAAATGTTCCTGACATATGCTGAGCAAAGAAGTATTAGGAGTCATTTTACCTTCAAGTATAGGTGAGTAGACATGACATAACCAACACTGGTCCTATTTGTCTCTTGTACAGATTCCATGAGAAGCTTCCTTTAGTGTGCATCAAAGGGTAGTTTTTGATGTTTTTTTCTGGTGCCCTGGTCATTCCCTGACAATTTCAATCCTCCCCCGTCAAAATCCAGGCTGATTTGTTATCATTAAAAATGTCTTTTCAAAATCTTGACAATTTGGAAAATTTCTGAAATTGGTTTGGATTGGTTGGGTAGGATCCCTTTTCACTTGCTCTGTCTAAATATCATGGTGCCGACCCACAACAGCAAGTTCTTAGCTAGTGCACCAAAAGGTAGCCCGCCCATGGTTTGAGAGACGAGCTCTTAAAACTCAAGTTTTTGTGGACAGGGGTGGTTTCTGACGGAACCAAGGAAAGTTTTGTGGTCCCTTGGTTCACCCCTGTCGATTCGAATACTTTTCCGTCGAAATCCAGACCCATCGATTTCGCTAAAAACACAAAGGCTATAGGCTTTGTAAATTTTCCCAAAGATGAAAAAAAAATAAAATCGCTGGAAATTGTTGGGATTGATCAGACAGAATCCTCTTTCAATCTCTCCATTGAAATTTCTCGCCGTCAGGCCATTTTGAGTGAGTTACGCCTGTTTTTCTTGGACCAGTTCGCCTGCGAGGTAGGCAGCCCATCGTACGCTGCCCGCCAGATTCAAAAGACCACCCTTTAAACTCAAGTTTCTCTGGACAGGGGTGGTTTCTGACGGAACGAAAGGTAGTTTTGTGGTCCTCTGGGTCACATCTGTCGATTCGACTACTTTTCCGTCGAAATCCGGACCCATCAATTTTCGCTAAAAACACAAAGGCTATAGCCTTTGTAAATTTTGCCAAAAACGAAAATTTTGAAAATCGCTAGAAATGGTTGGGATTGGTCTGGGAGAGTCGTCTTTGACCTCCTCTGTCGGAATTGCGTCCTTCCTGACTCTTTTACAACCTGCTTCTTTGACTAAAATTACCTCTTTGGTTTCTTCCAGGAAGATCGGGCTGGGGGTGTACGTGTACCTGTCCTGGAGATCAGCCGTGCGGCCCATGGAATCATCAGATATAAGTTGAGTTGGCGTCACAGTGATTACAGCTGGTCCTGTTATTTTTTTCTTTTGTACTGTCTCTTTGAGTAAGCTTGAATGATTTTCTCTCTGGCACCAAACTTTGTTGGCCATCTAAAGTCACTTTTCACGACAGGGGTGTTTGAGAACCTTACCCCTGTAAATTTTCTAAAATTTGTTCAAAAATATTGATAATCTTTTATTTTAAAAAAATTAATAAAACAAAGTATATAGTCCTCCCAGCATTACTTTGGTCTTTGACCAAAGAATGCTGGGACGACTATATTTTCCCGAGGGCTGGGGGTGGTGGTGGGGATGGGGACACCCACATTGTGGAAGGGTTTAGCGGAGCCGTTCCGCTCAAGCTGTGGAGTCAGCAAACCCTTTGCCGTGGGTAAACGTGCAAACCCTTGTGCCGTGGGTCAAACGGTGCACTCTTCGGGACACGCTTGACCTCAAGCGTCAATGAGGCGGGCTGTACGGGGCCCAATTGGTGTTAAATCACGTTACCGTACTATGCGTGAAATTGCTGTGACGCAATTTGCTGAGCATTGATCGCACCCGGGCGCGGGCATACAGCGAAGAAGCAGCGTCCTGGCTTATGTGTGACGAACCCTCCCTCCCCCTGCCCCCGCGCTCCTCGCGGCTGCGGTTGCTGTGGAGGTAGTGGCGGGCTGCCCCGCTACCGTCGTGACGTGACGGGTGTCTTGGGTGCTGCTGCGGTGGTTGTGGGGTGGTAGTAGCGGCATCCTGCAGTAAGTCTACTACTGCCTCCACAGCTAACTAGAGCTGCATCCGAGACGCCCGTGACGTCACTGCTGTAGTGGTGGCAGTCTGCTACTACATCCACAGTTACTGCAGCATAGAATCAGGTCTATGAAATAATGTAAAATGTTGGATAGTAATTTAATTCTTTATTGTTTCAAATCATTAACATTATAAGAGTAAGTCTTCCTCAAGTAGACGGCTTGTTTCTGCTGGTGACTTGGAGCGAATCTGAATACCTGAAAAAGAATGAAAAAAGCCTAAGTTAAATTCAAATCATCTAAGAGTTCAACTCAAACGTGTTCTGGTCCATATGTATCACTGTGATGCCAACTCATCGAATGGACTTTCTATGTTACAGGTCACCAACATCAAGTCCAGGCACATCCCTTGGGACAAGGACCAGCATCACTTCCTATTTTACTAAGATTGTACCATGCAAATGAAATAAATAGCAGCATTACTGTAAGTGACACACTGATGATTTGCCTCTTCTACTTTCCTCCACTACAATCAACACATGACTACATATTTCAGGCCATATAGCCGTAAAGTTCAGTTCAGTTCAGTTTATTTCTTTTCATAGGAAGAAAAGAGTATACATAAGAAAGAGGTTGCACTTAAAATTGCAAGAATGGACAATACAATCATATGAAAAAAAAAATGCAATCACAAGTAATGAAAGAGTAAAAAACAATGATAAAATTACTCCTCCCAGAATTCCTCCATAAAATAAAAGGCCTTATTCACTAGATAAGACTTAAGTTTTTTCTTAGAAATGATTTGACTAGAAATATGAAGGATATCCTTAGGTAACTTACAAAAGATTCAGACAGGTAATTGTAGGTATCCTATTCTTCCTAAAATATTCTCTGCGTGAGACTGTTGAGTCATTGATTTTATTTAAAATTTGAATTGCTCTCTTTTGTATATTTAAAAGTTCTTAGATTTTAATTTTGGGTCATTTCACCATATTAAGACACCAAATGATAGAAGAGATTGTATGAAAGCATGGAAAACTGGCAAGTTGTAGTTTCTATCAACAAATTGAGAAGTCTGTTTAAGTACGAATAGACCTCTATTTACATTCTTTAAAACCATTGAAAATTGATCAACCAAGTTTAAATTATTAGTAATTAAAATTTCTAAAAGTTTGGTACAGAACAGTTGCTGAATGGTCATTCCATTAACTCTCAAATTGATTTTTTCATAAATGGAGAAAGCATAGAAGCAGTAAAGGAGTGACAAGTAACAAATACCAAAATAAACTTTTATCAAACATGACTCTACCATAATGCCTACAACTTGGCAACAGTGCAGGGTTGATTTAGGTTAAAAATGTAATCAATGTGTCTTTTCAAAAATATAAAATCACTTGCCCCTGCCAAATTTATCAAGGATCCGGTTGGTTATGCGTAATTGTTGTGACGTAAATACAATTTATCTCAAGTACAAAATCCGGCATGCACTGTTGCCTCATCGTGGGCAAAGATGTAGATAAATGTTTTCTGTTAACATTAAGTCACAACTTACCAGATTGATTCCTGTGATCATGAGAAAAAGAGGCCACTTCTCATCTGTGTGCTGTGACGCCAGGTCAACATAGATTGGGTGACACATAAGCTGCTTAGCTGATGTCAGGCACAGATGCGACTAATAGACAGTCTTCCTGCGACAAGGTAAAAACAGAACTTTGACCCACATGTATCACAGTGACACCAACTCCTCTCTGGACTCCTTACAGTCTTAGGTAGCTGCATAACATTGACATGCCATGCTTCAAAAATACTGCCTAGGACCAGCAATGTTCAAGTCAACGTCAAATGTTCACAGGTGGAACATCATAAATATTCATGCATTTTTAACTGTTTCCATATTAGTTCCTTAAAATTTTTAACAATTGTCACAGAACAAACAGGAAAAAGAGATAACTCGCATTTGTTGAAATAACTTATTGGCAGTGTACCATTGCGCTACATCTAGTTGAAGACCTTAAAGTTATTAAAATAGCAACGGGATCGTAAGATTAAAAAAGAAACTTAAGTTGAATGAGGCTTTTCCCGTATTAATGTTATACCTCTTATTCTATTAAAACAACGATTTATTAAACTACGCTGTCTGAGAGTCAAGTGGGCCATTAAATGCCAGGTACCAGAATATCAGCAAAGTGGGACTCCAATGAAGCAATCTACGCTACCCGCATCCATCATCCGTCACCCATCTCTTGCGATTTCGTGTATTTACGCGTACAACTCGGGTAAACATGAGTATTTCGCGATGTAAATAAGCGAAATCGCTGGTGATGGGTGACGGATGATGGAGCGTAGATTACTCTGTGATAACAGATCCATATACTGTATGGTCCTGGTTTATGCCACTAAAGTGGTGTTTACAGCAAAATATGTCGAATGAAACATTTTCAAAACATGGGCAGGTATAACCTGTAGAAGATAGATCTGTAATCTGTTATTTCTCTCAAAGCGATACAGCCCAGGATGATGACTTTTTTCACGTACACTGACAAGCTAAGAAAAAACAGCGTTTCTTTCTTTCCTGACGAAACTAGCTGGCAAATGATTTCTTGAAGTAATTTTGTTGAAAAGTCACCACCAACCACCATGATAGCTGGACGCTGCGAATAATCTGAATCTGAAGTATCGGCACTACAACTCCCCACCTCCCAACCCACCACACCGTCTTCCGTCTTCTGCTTTGGTTTCAGTTAGTTTTGCACTTTGATTTAGCTTGTATTGGATATACAGGACGACAAGCCTTATGTTAGTTTACAATGTAAGAAGAGAACTATGAGTTTGATTGTCTATAAGATTTTTGCCTCCCTCATGTTAACGGGAACTAGTCTTTACTTCCTTTCCAGAAAATATGAAAGTAGGTTATGGAATGGTTTAGTTTTAGTTTCATTTTTCAATATGATTGACAACAATTTAAATTGTAGCTGTATTAATTCATTGCACAAACTGTCCCGATTTTTATATTTAGATGACGCGAAACAACAGGCTAGATATAAAATTATAACTACTCCACCTGTCAGGGATGGCGATTTTCCCAAAAAGTGGAAGGGTCCAGCGTAAATTATTGTAAATAATACAATTCTCAAAACAATGGTTTCTTCTTCAAGGTAAGATAGATGTGTGAAAGAAAGTTGATACTCCATGTTTCTCTGTTTGAATAATTTGATTTATTGTTATTGTAAATCAATCCACATTCATACTCTCTTACAGGTATAGGTCAAAAATCTTTTTCAATGACATAGGAAGTTAACATTAGGAGGACATTTTGTAAACCAGAAACACAAGGAGGTGTATAGCTGTTTCCAAGGGTAGACAGATTGAAATGTCACCATGATGGCGGGAAGCGGCGGGGCTCAGTACGTCACTACCCGCAGGGTGATCCTAGGGCCTGCACCCTGAACAACTTGGACACAAACTGTGAATGTTTTTTCAACAATTCACAACTTAAAAATGGGAAGACAAATGGCATATCATTTCAGGAGCTTACATTTCTTTCCCAATAAAATTATAATATTTTTGATGATATGTTTGGAATGTTTTCCCTTACTTTCAAGATTCAACTCCTTAAACCCAGAAGGGTGGGTACACTCTTCTCACCGTAACTCACATCCACCAATAATAATATTGTCAGGAAAAAGGCTCTGGTTATCTATTATCATGAAAACCATTCAGATTTCACAGTTACTTATTAGAGGAACATAACAGAGCTGATGACGTTCAGTACACAAAATTACAAGACTTAATCAAAGTAGAACTTCAAAAGATAAATAATATCAAGTTTGAGGGGTAGCATTTATCTCCTGCCACATTAATGGATATTAACTCTAAATTCTATCACAGACTGAAAAGTA